TATATATATATATATATATATATATATATATATATATATTTTTATTTATTTATTTATATATATATAAAGATACATACAGTTGCCCGAGTTATTCCTGGAAGGCAATAATCAGCATGCGGTGTATATACAATTCCTTTCTTGACCATGAACTGCTAAGACATGACTTGAAATGTTAGTCGGAATTTGAAGGCCTATGGTTCCTCAAAAGAAACTTATATATCAAAATGCCTCACAAGGTTTGTGGCATTAGTTTCAGACACAAAGCCGTCTTTATCAAGCATGATTGCATCACCGGCATTAGCAAGGTTACCTTCCACCTGCAGTTTCATATAATATTTGTTACAACATAAAGAAAACATAAGCAAATAAATTCAAGTTCTACCAAAATAATTATGGATAGAATAGACAACCTTCGCTAGAATATTGTTGATGAGATTGTTATGGTGTATTTTTGAATCTACATTCTGCAATATTGTAAGAAAACATAATGAATAAAGTCAGGTAGGGCGTTTTTGTATACTTCAAATGAAAAAATACATCAAGGAGAAACTTAATTCTCACAATGATATGAACAGAGAGGATACCAGTCCAGACAACCAAAAGTAAAGTAAATTAATACTTTGCATCGGTATTGCAAGAAAGAGCAACAAACTTCAAAGCAGAGTAAACAAGACGACATTCTTAGACCTTTTTGTACCTTAGATTACTTTTAGGTAGGGAATGGGTGACTTCAAATAGTTCATATGCAAATCAAGAGAAGGGAACATAAGAGTTATTATATGCAAACTGCTTTCACCCTAGAGCGTCGTTTATGTGTTTCAATTATCATGTTTAAATCATTTATATGTAATTATGATTAATTAAACAATTATTTAAATAGATAAAATTAAATTAAACCATTAAAGTTTATAATTGTCTTGAAAATTTGAGTGAATATACCTTTAAAAATTGTAATTTTTTTGGCCTTAATATATTCATAAGTAGGAAACATAATTAGTAGGGAGGCTTCATAATACTCATAAAGAGAAGAAAAAAACTAATTATGATGTAATTTAAAAAATTTTAAAATCATGTTAAGATCAATATACTCTTTATATTAAATTGATCCCACAATAATTTAAATTTTAACCAATATTTGATGGTATTTATCCGATCAATCCATGGAAAAATATTGCATCATGAGTGCTCATGCAGTTTTGCATCAAGATTCTAATCATGACCTGCACGTGTACAGGCAGATTTGCCCATGTATTAAATAAATTTATTTTACTAATATAGGTCTACCTTTACACGTGCTAATTTTTGATTAAAGTCATGATACAAACTGTATAAAGACACTTGATAAAATAATTTTTTCAATCAATAGTCAAAATACTCTCCTAAATTGCTGAATTTGGAATCCCATGCAAGGCTATTATCGTAAAATTATCCTTTTCCTTTCCTTACTGTTATGGTATGGCTCATATACCATATCGGGACAGACGCTGGATCGAAGCGGAGCAGAGTGGAGCGGAAGATTCTGTCCAAATTGGGAAGTTACGTGGGT